GTTTACATTGCTTTAGGTTTCACAACGAGCACAGGGCTATCTGATCGTCCCATGTTAAACGCTGCATTTCGGTTTCGCTTATTATAGCTCTTTTCCGTATTCAACATTCTGCCATCCAAGGTTTAAGACCATGGCTTCAGAATTAGATTTCTCCGCCATGGTGCAGACATAAGAGTGACCTAAGCCCCTGACAAGGCAGAAGCCCTGTAAGAATGTACCCTAGCCCCGCCGAAGTTTGCACGTGCCTATCTCAATGTACTGTGTATTCTCAACGGCTACCAGATCGGCAAGGAGTTCGGTCACCTGGGTTCTAGGTTGACTTCTGAGAAATTTCGGCGAAACCTTGTACCAGGACCAATATGGCACTTTCTCGGGTAAATTGTCAGTACTAAGATATAGTTCAGACGCATAAAAGCCTTGACGCTTAATATGAAGGTTGATAGGATACGGACAGATTCTTCGTTCATACGGATTATGTGTGTAGGGTCGGTACAGGGCACATTTACTTGTCCCAGTGTTGTACATAAGAGATTCAATTCGAGCGAGCGAGGTATCCGGTTTTGCTCATTTCCTTACAAACCCTACTTTTGCTCGTATAGCTGAAGACTCTAGTAAGGAAGTCACGAGTATTAAGCCCCTACTGGCGGGGCTTTACGAAAAAGCTCACACGACATCATCTAAAATTTTAAGTGAGGTCCAGAGGAAAGATTATCTGGATTTACGGCATGTCTTAGATTTCTTCTTAAATTGTGATGTTTCCGCATGTTCGTAACGTTTCTGGCTACATCCATGTCATTTTTTCCTGCCCACAAGCCCGACTTTACAATAAGACCGCAAGTTATAGCCGTCGCTGCTTTTATCCAAACAGTTTTTGGCTTTTGGGTGCGCACTCTTATCCTCATACATGCAAACTTGAACTAACAGTTAAAAGGAATTGTAGACTTCCCACAGGTGGGACTTATGGGTTGTGCGTTGAGGATGTCAAACTAGAAACAGCTGTGCCTTGCAGATCGGTCAGGAACCGGATGTATCTTCGTTTATGTTATGCGACTGCTAACTAGTTTATATAGGATAACCCATGGAAGAAACTTGGCAATGGCTGCGAGCAAGTCAAGGGGGTGATTGCCTACTGCTCATAGTTGCAGGTGGATGGGCAGTTTTAACTGTATAATGATACATCACTGAAGCTAGACGTTGGGAAAAGCAGAAAACGACCGTCTCTACAGTCATAAACATAAGTTTCTTCACATATGTACGATCTATGGCGATATTTTTGTGATGATGGACTCACGTCTCTATGCCGCTGACAGGAAACAATCGGTTGAGTCTCGCGGTATGTTTTGGTGCTAAAACGATCAATTCAGACCATCCTAGTACTATTACATTTTGTAAGCAAAGTCGACATGACCATTCAAAAGAATTCGCCTGAAATTCGTTGAGATTATACTTTAGTGTGTCGACTTCTTAGCAAATTAGTTCTAAGAGCGTGCAGTCCGGCCTCTATTTTCTCGAGTCATGGTGGTGAAAGGAGAGGTTTATTTGGAGGGAGAAGCCATGGGATGTCTATATTGTTACTGCTCTCAGTTGCCACATTCTGATCCTGGAGAATCGATCAATAGGCGGACGAGCCACTTATTAGATTGCTCCTCTTTCATGGTCAAAGTTTTCTGGCATCTGCTGTTAGTCAAAGCCAAAGACTCTTGTTCTCTTTCCAGATAACTGAACACCTTCCAAAATCCTATCTAGAGCCCTTCAACAATGATCTCAAAGCCGCCGACAAGTACTCAATCAAAGCTCTGAGCCAGATTCCGCATCAGGGGCTGAGAGCTGCCGCTACAGTCACAACTGTCTTGAACTAGCCGAACAGGATATGAGCCTGACACCGACAACTCTGTTTGTGAAGTGTTTCCACTAATCGAGGGCCTCAACGAAAGAAACGCGGTTATTCATCCCCCTCAACCTGTGGGAACGACTGCCTGAAGAGCGAGCTGAAGCTGACAAAATGATGGGAAGTTGTCTCAAAGCATTAAAGACTTCCCTTAGCCTGTTATCACGATACTCGCTCTAGATGCTCTATCTTACGATTCTATTAATGGATTGGATTATTTCTTACTGTATTTGCTGGGGGAAATGACGGATATGGAAATAGTATACAGTTGAGCGAGACTGAGGAAGGTAATTTGAGTTTGGTCAGGAACTTCGAAGACGCGAGGGCTAGGAGACTAGGGAATCGGACGGGTCCGAGATACATGAGTCCGGAGAGGGGTGCCGACCATAGGTAATTAGATATGGATGATTAGAAGGAAGGTGCTGACCGTAGGTAGTTACCCGCTAGGTAAGTGCTAATATAATACATAAGCTTGATTATCTAAGTATTAGCTGTTATAAAAAGCTGAGATATTAAGGTAATTGTAATTAGAAGGCCCGTGCTTGATAATTTAATTAATTATAATCTTTGAATTCGCTATGATAAATAATATCCCTACTATTAATTATGTACCTGCCGTTACTCTATTAGAAAAGTCTATTTTGACCTGGTTGGCTCTGTAGGCTGCCGTAGGTAACCCAGATTGGAGTCTCGGCCCCTCGGGCAAAAGCAATACCGATAGAGACTTTTTATAAACTTGGTTGGCCGATGACATCTGCACACTCTCTGATTGCCCACAGTCACTCCATCCATTATCGGACTCCATAGACGCACTTTGCGAACCAGTTCGTCGCTTTCTATGCACCATGGCGTCTCGCATCGACTTGCAGGCGCTCGCAGGATCTCGCAGCAGCTCGCAAACAGCAGCGCAGCATCACCGCCAATATCATCGTGAACAACCACACCGTAATCTCTTCTCTTCCGTGTTTCGGTCATGGGCATATATCTTAAGAGACTGCATCGGCCTCATCGCCACCGCCAGCAATGCCGGCCAACATCGCCGTCAAGCAACATCCTCCGTGGTCCGGTATTGAGCAGCTTCAAGAGAAAAGAAATAACATCGGCTTGTACAAGCTCGCATCAGCATCGCCTCCACCGCACCGCCATCACTGCCAATAACGACCTGGTCGTCAACTTTTGCCTAGAGCTAGAGGGTTATGAAGCAGCGGCAATGAGAACACGGAGTCAAACGCTCTCCACAGCGCCTTGGGACATTGAATGCGAACGCCGCGAACATTGGCTAGGCACTTCCATAGGCGGCAGTCACTCCGCCACTGGGAATCCAAAGATGCATGTCGGAAACCCTCGCGAACCAGTTCGCCGCTTCCACGCAGACGCAGGCTGAAGCGTTTATGCATCGTGCTGCGCGTCGCTCAAGTGTGCGTGCACCTTAGCCTTTCGCATTGGCTACCAGTAGCTCGCAGTAGCAGCAGCATCATCATTATCACTGCAACCTGCTCCCCTCTTCTGTGTTTCGGCAATGGGCAGTTTCAAGAGACAACACCAGCTTGCAGGAGCTCGTATCGGCAGCACCGTCATTGCCAGCATGGCCGCAAATCAACACCTCATCGTGATCGCTTCCCGTCCTCCATGTTTCGGCATTGAGCAGCTTCAAGAGACATCAGCCTGGACGCTCAGCTTTTGCCTAGAGCAATCTAAAGGAGCGGTGACGAGACCACGGAGTCAAACGCTCTACACGGCGCCTCGGATTGCGAACATTGGCTGAAGACACCCCGTGGACACCATGTCCACACAGGATACATCTAGATGGAGAACCTCCCGTCTTCTGCGCTCATCAATGATTCTAGCCTTTCCACATCCTTCTCACCACGTCAATGCCTAGGACAGGCTCACTATTGATAGTCAGCCACCATGTGCCGCAATAACAGCTCGGCGGTATGTTGCCATCCTCTCATGTCACAACATTGTGTTCCCGGGGCTAACAGTCTGATTTGAACTTGGCAAATCTGTGGCGACACTATCGCCTAATACGCCTCCAAGCCCAAGAAGCAGCGCGGCTTCCGCTGGTGCGTTTGCACTCGTGCCATCATCCTATACTTCCTATACTGCCGACGCTTCCTACCCTCCGATGTCGACCGCAGGCCGACCGCCTCCGTCTTGTATAACGACCTGATACCCCGTCTCTACACCAAATACTATATCCTCATCCACGATCCGGCCTAGGCCTTTATCGTTCCCAAGTTTAATAATCTCGTACGGCACTACGCAATAAAATAGGTAACGGATACCTATAACGGACCCCTTATTATGTAATATTCCGTGTTAAGTTAATAATAAAACAAGAAAAAGACTGCAAGATAGGTAGCCTACGGTATTAATACCGTCGAACTATGAATACGCTAGGAGCTCGGCAAAAGAGACTTATAATAAAGAAGTAAGACGTATCGTATTATACTACCAATTATTTAAAAAAAAATACTTGATTAACGCTTACGCCTTCACATAGAGCGATCCTAAGGAGGACTACCTAACGCCCTTATTTACTAAATAAGCATATTCTCTTTAAAGATAATAGCTACGGAATATCGTTCACTTTTTAAAATAACGATCGTCAAAATGATAACACCGTTAAGCCCTATAGCTACCCCGTACGTTCTAATTACCTATTATTATGATATAACTATTGAGGAATTTTTTGAAGCTCATACTATCGACAGCACCCCTAGTAAAACTCCCGGCGGTACCTTTGCACGATTCTAGCCGCCCGAGATTCCGACTAGAACTGTCCCCGTCGCTAATAACAAGACCCTCTGCGCGGCGAGCAACAACATGTGCACAAGTCAGGAAGACGACCCGTTCCTTAACCCGGCCTTCAACCCCTGGGTCGACGACGACGACCCGTTCCAACCCCTGCCACAGGAAAGTTTCACCACCTACTCGACTACCGCGGTCTCTACACGGAATGTCGGCCTGCCACCGTCGCCGCCGCTCCCGCTGCCTCCAATCGCCAACTCCGCGCCTCCACGCTTTCCTTCTCCCATGCAGCTCTCAATCCCACCGGCCAGTCTCGTATGCAACAGCACCGTAGTCTCCAGACCCGCAACCACGACTTTCAGTCCTCCGCGACAACATCAGCATCAGCATCAGCATCAGCATCAGCATCAGCATCAGCGTTAAGCATCAGCATCAGTATCAGCGTTAAGCACCGAGCACCTTTAGGAATAGCACCATGATATCGGTGCCCTTTTCGGTCACCGTCTACCAGCAATGCGACTCTCACGGCGGTGTTATCAACACTATCAAAGTCAGGTCACAGCAATGAGCCTCGCAATCAACTGCACCCTCTACCGTATCCCACCCTCTGGCTTTAGCACGTTGGTTCTTGGAAAACATCTTCTCGTCGATTATCAGGCTACTAAAGGTATCACTAGGTCTTCTACACAATACCAAACAATATCAAGGCCAGCACTCGGCCAACACGCAGGTGCCACTACAACTCATCTTTTTCAACAAAATCAGCCGCAGAACCCTCCAACGGCTCCCTGTCAGCCGCAGCATCAGGGGCAACAATCAGCGGCTCTCCATATGCATCATCCGGGTTATCCCCAACACAATGATGGCACCAAAAGAGATTCCCCGGGTCGTGCGCCTTCTTCACAGCTAGCAACTGCTCATACGCCTTGTCACCCCAATATCTCGCCGTCCAGTTATGCATAACATACGAGCTCTCGGAGAAATAACTGTTGGGTCCAAGCTTATACAGCGTGTCCCTTGACTGCTGCGTCGTCAAGGTGCGCGCATTCCACAGCATGAGCGCCGAGCGGAAGCCCGGCGAGATGGCCGTATCGCCCGGCTGCGAGCTGCCCAGGTTGCCAGTTAGCGACGTGTAGAGGTAGTGGAATCCGCAGCGATAGCCGTTTGGATCTGGCGACGTCGTGTCAGAATGCTCCAGGGAGTTGACGCAGATATCCAGCACGTCCATCATTGTCGAGGCGAACTCTGTCTCCATGGCCTGCCGCGAGACAAGGACGGAGTTCTGAGAGCCAGTGGCCGCGTCGGAGGGCGGGTGCGGCGTCGGCAGCGGATTCATGACGAAGAGTAGGAACTTGTCTGGGGGCATGGAGAGGATGTACTCATAGGCTGAGTTGAAGTTGTGCTCCTGCGTGGCCTCGGGCTTGGTCTGCAGCACGTCCACGAGGCTGTCGCGGAACTGAACGTAGTCCTGCTCTGCCTGGCCGCCGGCGTAAAAGTACTCAAAACTGAACGTCCAAGTCACTGAACAGAGGTCGTGGGTTGTCTTATACTTGGAGGTGTCAATAAAGAAGGCGGGCTGCGTGCTGACCTTTTGCTTAAGTCTCAGCTGCCACGCGGTGAAGCGAGGCCACATGTCGCGCAGCCACTGGTAGCCAAAATCCCGCGAATCCGGGCAAAGGGTGCCAGACTGGTTCATGAGACCCGGCTGAGACCACCGTCGGGCACAGGATGGGCGCGGATCGTCATGGAGAGAATGACACCCCAGACGCCGCCACCGCCGCCGCGCATGGCCCAGAAGAGCTGGGGATTGTGGCGCCGACTGGCAATCTTCTTATGGACGACGGGCTGGCCATTGGCGTCGCGGCCGACCTGCAAAACTTCAATCTCGAGCAGGTTATCGACGCCGAGGCCCATGGAAGGTGCAAAGGGCCCGTGGCCGCCGCCGAGATGGAAGCCAACCATGCCGACAGTGGAGCACCAGCCCGATGCAACGACACGTTTATACTTGGCCGAGAAGGCATGCATCTCGGCGAAGATGGAGCCGGCGCCAAAGCGAAATGCGCCAGCCGGGGCTAGGGCCTGCTCCCCGTCTTTCTCGGAGCCCCAGGTGCGCATGAAGGTTTTGTCCTTGAGCAGGATTGTGCGGATGAGGATACCACCAGTCGGGCATGAGTTGCGGCTGTTGTACTCGTGGCCGGTACCGGCCGTGGCGATGCATAAGCGGTGGCGCGCGGCAAAGGTAAGGGCGGCGGCGATATGGCGTTCGTTCAGCGGGAAGACAACGATGAAGGGATTCCAATTGCGGTACTCGTTCTGGTGAAGCGCCGCCTTGCACATATCAGACGCGCTGTTCCATACGGTAGCGCCAGCGGGTAGGACGAAGCAAGGCCGCTGCATCGCGTCGATGTCGTCGTAATAGGAGTACAGCGCCTTGAGACCCTCGGGCGCATTACCCAGGCCGTAAAAGGACTGGTTGTTGATGGAGCCCGTTGGTACCGGCGCCGGCTGCGGCTGTGGGTAGCTGCTCCACCGGAGGCCGAGCCGGGGCACTGTGGGGTCCAGCGCCTGCTCCAGCTTCCGAATGGCCGTCTTGGTGGGCCAGCAGGTGGAGTCTTGAGGCGTACACCAGTCATGGGCCGGGCCTTCAACAAGTGTTGCGTGCGAGGGATCTTGGACGCCGGCGGATGCTGCTGCTTCTGCTTGCACCGACTCGGCCGGATCGCACGAGCCGGCGCCGCAAAAGTCATTCTCGGGGCCGCACGAGTAGCGGCAGTGAGCGTTGCACGGGTTGCACCGGCCCATGGCCCATTGCATCTTTGGCTGGCCCGGCGTTTCGCAGTCGAGTACGGCGTACGAGTACACCTGTTGGAACTGGAACTGGAAATGACAGGTGGTGATCATGCCGCTGGCGCTGGCAAGAAGCACCTGGCTGGGGTCCTCCTCCGAGTGCGAGACTGAGTAATGCTGCACGCCGCGGCCGGGGTAGTTTGGCCACCTCATCGACGCCTGACCGGCGGCAGTAAAATTCCATTGTGCGAGGCCCTCTTGATAGTGGCTGGATACTTGGAGTGTGCGCCACGAGCCAAGCAGCGCCGGGGGTGCTCCGGCAATGCCATGCTGAGAGTGGCTCACTGGACCGGACTCGGAGTTGGACTCGGCCTCGATCTTAGACTCGGTCTCATGCTTGCTACCGGACGCCGAGATACCATCCGGAGAAAACGAACAGCCTGCCGCTGACGCCTTACAGCGGAACATGAGGAAGTTGCCGCACCCGGGCGTATCCATGGCGGCGTAGAAGCTCTTAGGCGCTGGCTTACCGGTGTGATTGCACGCCAGAAAGGCCACCTCGAGCTCGCCAATATCCGGCAGTCGTTGCACCAGGCAGTCTTCCACGTGGGCCGTGTCGCCGCTGCCGCATTGCAGTAACAGCTCTTTGGGGCCACGTCGCTGGTAGGTGCACGTCTGGGGGTATGGGCTGTCGGTGGTGACGGTCATGACGTTCTGGCTGTCAACGTCGGTGAAGGTTTGCGCGAACTCGAACTTGCCGGATCCGAGTTGCTCGGCGCCAAACGAGCGCCAAGTGCCCTCCCAAGGGGATACATTGTCGGAGCTCGTGAGGGCCGGCATAGCAAAATCCAAGTTCAGCAGCGGCAAGCTTCCGTTTCCAATGCTGTCACTGCTGACACTTTCTTCACTCTCCTCCAGCTGCGGCGCGTTACTGGGGTCCAGCAGCACGGTGCTGTTGAGCTGCGCCGGCGGGCATGTGTCCCAAGAGTCACCACACGCAAAGCACTGGTCGATACAGTCGCCCGATATGCGCGGCACGCTCTCCCTGTCGGTGTCTGTCCATCCCACCGTTGCCAGATACGCGCACTGTACGCAGCCGGTGCTGACGAGCGGCTCCATATCCCCTCTCATCTGCAGCTGCTCGCGTAATGCGGCGTTTGCGTTGACCTCGTTGGCGAACACAAATGCCGTGCGGAAGTAGGCCTCCTGCGGCAGCCTGAACGAATTGCCGTCAGCGCCGGGGATGACTGCGCAGGTGCCATGTTTCATCCACTCGGACAGAATGAAACATTGCATCGTGTTCTTGTACTTTGGGTCCGTCGGCCAGAAGTAGTTGAACAGACCGGCAAATGTCTTGAGAATCGTCTCGTCAAACTCCTCGCCATTCAGGCAACCGTACGGCTGGTTCCTAGAGCCATCTCCGCCCGCCGACCCAGGCCATAGACCGTGCAGCGTGAACGTGGCCGAGTCCGGTGCGAAGTTGTTCTTCTGTAGCGCCAGCGTGTAGGCGTCGATGGGTATCAGCCCGGCCGGTTGGTGCCACGAGTTGCATAGCGAGAATGGCGGCGGCTTCTGCTGCAGACCGCCGCGCTTGTCCTTGGTAGTGCAACCGTTCTTCCACTTGAGGTCGCACGTTTTGGGGTGGAAGTTGAGCTGGTTGAACTGACGGAGCGGGATCGGGTTGGAGGCGCAGTCGTCCGACCTGCCGGAGCACCATTCCGCGGCCACTGAGCTGACCAGGGCCAGCACTACCGCAAGCCGGGTATGCCAAGCCATGTGTGTTTGACGATGCATAGTACCGGTTTATGGCGTTGGTTTTATTATGCCACTGCTGTTGTGTATTTGTTGTGTTTTGATAGTGTCTGGGGTAGGAGCTTGAGGACGGACCTGTTGACTCTATATATATCATTGTACAGGCTATGATCTTTGTCCTATTCATCATATATTGCCAATTACCAGGCTAACGTTCCTAACTCGTAGATGAGAACGACGAAAAATACTTTTCTAGAAGGCCAAGCCTCTTGTTGCTGGGGTTTGGCTGCCAAATCCGGTCTCTCTTGCGGTGCCAAAGTCAGGTATGTGATATTCCTTTCTGAATCAGACCCCGAGATAGGCCGGAGACGGTTTGGTTTCTGGCATCAAACTAATTCTACGTCCAAACCTGGTATCCTATGTATCTATGGCCAATTGCCAGTTCTGACTTCTGATGTTAGCAATGATCCCAGAGCTGACCTGAACATGAGAGCTAACGACTCGCTTCGCTAGCGGCCTTTTGTAGCTGCGGCTGAGTCCGCAGACTATCGGAAACGGCAGACTTGAGTGCCTGGCTGGTTTCCAGTGGCGAGCTGAGACAAGTCAGACCGACGAATACCAAAATCGTTCGAGCTAGAAGCTCACATTGGTTGAGGTATTAGTCGAGGCCCAAGCCACATTCTATAGTGGAGTAGAATTCAGCTCTGCCAATCCACCATGGTTCGTCGCGTGCATGCCGTGCCGCCTCGAATCACCCGAAAGCTTAGCGTATAATTGAAATTCTGATGGAGATCAGACCATTCAGGGTTCAGATACATTCCCAGCGGGGATTTTATTCCTTCGAACGATAGCCCCTGCCCACCACGGGCATCCGCTACCTGCCAAATTGCTGCGAATTTGCGGTCAGCCAAGAGTCGTTTGCCTTCTTTTGCCACCGTGGCTCATGGAAAAGCGAAATTGTCTCGAAGAACAGAAAAGACACTTTTCCTCGTAGACATGTTTTGGTTTTCAGCTCATCTGTGGCATTGACTGCGGACCGCGAAGGGTGCCCGAGATGGAGAAGGGCGATTCGAAAGGGGGACCGGAGGAGAGGATATCGCCACTAGAACTGATGACCTATATTCCAAGTCCACCGCTTTTCAGGTTGATCGTTCGGTTCAGCGCAACTCTTCCTTGATGAGTCTCTGCAGTTTTGCTGGATTCCGCCACGATGGCCGTTTCCAACTCTGCGAGCGGAAAGTTGCTGCTGATAGAGGACGTGGCCATCAAGCATTGGACACCTCAAAGGACTCCCGCTAGTATTGGTATCCCGGAGCAACGAGTTCAGGTTGTGTGATACTGTTCATTCTTTGAATTACGCCAAACATTCCAGCTATCGTCAAGGACGTCCTTTGGGGGTCTCGAAGAAGGAAGCCGTCCAAGTACGAGCTCCTCGAAAACGGTAATCCGCTGGGTGGGGCGGGCACTTTGTGGAAAGTTTGTTTAGAGTCCCGAGAAACATAGCCTCGGCCGAGAACGTGGTTTATGTTGGTGAAGTTTTACTTCAGCTCGCCACGGGTTGTCGTGCCGTGCCGCATCTAGAGCGGCTGAGGACGGGATACGGTAAGCGCCGCCACTAGTCTCACTAGGTACCGGTCGTGCATCTAGGCACCAAAACGACTTGTGCGGGGTAAGAGCCTCATTAGAAGCTTCAACTCGGTCAACCTTCATATCGGGTGTTTTAGCCCGCCACGAATGTCTCAGACTTGACGAAAACAGTGGCCATCTGCTGATATGTTCCGGTCACTAAGGCCTCGGTCGGCTGGTTTCAATATCAGTTGCCAGCCAGAATACTTCCACGCTAACGGCCCTGTAGAGCAGTGTGTTGCCGTATTGGACCTTAGCAACTAGGCAGTTTATCTAAGCTAGGAAATCAACTCATAAGCTGATTCGGAATCAGATGCATCAGCTTTCTTTGCCACATCACTGGATAGCAAGCTGACACCGCAATGTCGGATTCCTGTGTACCTGCTCTTAGCGTTCTAGACCGTTTCCTGTTCCTCTTAGCTCAAAAATGTGCTTCCGATATATGCCTTGGAAAAATAAATAGGATACTTTAGATCAGTTGCAACAACAAATAAACTACACGAAAGCGAGTCTATCCTCTTTCTTACTTCTATTCACCACGTTAATGTGTGATCCTGCCACGTTTGCTTCCAGAATGGATACCGCAAGCCTCCCAGACTACCTAACCATCCCAGGGAAAACGATTCCTAGCTTTCATTGCCGCGTCGGTAGAAAGCACAATGATCGTCAACCTTTGCCAGCCAACACCTACGGGTACCCTGTGCCCGGCGTGCAGGAACCTACTTCTACGTTGGTCATGGCCCGTGACTACTTCGCGAGGTATGGAGCAATCCTGTCTGGATTTGCGTTTTTCTTTCTAGCTCTGACCTTGATTCTACTTAGTGACCAGACGTGGGAGAACATCCTGGCCCATGGAGACTTTGATTACATCGTTATCGGCTCAGGCTTTACTGCTCTCGCATTCATTCAGAAGGCCCTCGAACTCGACCCGTGTGTCAAGATTCTTTGCTTAGAGCGTGGAGGTGAATGCGTCCTGTTAATCCCCCTTTGGATTTGTCGTCTCACACTTTAACCTGTTACAGGCTTTTGGCTTCCGTCCCACTTCCAGAACCTCCCGATTCCTTTCAAAATGGTTCTGGGAGGGCCTTCTGAGACATTCCCCTGGACGCTCTCACGCAAGACCTTTGAAACAAAAGAGCTTGGATTTTGCCATGGCTCTTGCCCATTCTTCGGTGGTCGATCCACATTCTGGTCCGCCTGGAGCCCGAGGCCAAGCCTAGACCTTATGCGCGACTTTCCTGAGGCTATGAAAAAGACTGCTGGGCATGAGAAGTTCTGGGAAGAGGCCAAAGAGCTGTTGAATGTCACACCCGCCTCCCAGATTAAAGACGGCGTCTTTGGAAGCCTTCAGACTGCCATTGATCGCATTCTCAAGGAATCGATTGGCAGGATTCCTACTGCGGACTACGTTGAGTCGGCTCCACTAGCTGTCGGACGACGCAGCCCAACTTCTCGTCTGCGGTTTGACAAGTTTTCTGTCCCTGGGCCTCTTCTTGGCATCTTGGAACAACAGAGGCAACTGGCCAAGACTAATAAGGGATCGCCTTTGGAAATAAAGGTTGACTGTGCGGTAAAAAGTATGGAGAAAGGCGACGACGACGATTCTGTTCGTGTTATCGAAACTAACAAGGGCACATTATCGTGGACTGGTAACAAGACTAAGATCATCCTGTGCGCTGGAGCCATTCCTAACGCCACGATGTTGCTCAACTCGTTTGAGAGTTGCCGCGACACCGTCGGTAGGAGGCTTACCGGCCACTACGATACACACATCTCTGCAAGATGCCCCTTGAAGAACGTCAAGGGCTGGCAAAAGGAAGACACCCTCAAAATTGCAGCTGCATACCTGGCTGGCAAGGATCCCAAGACTGGCCTGCAGTATCACGTCTCGGTCACGGCGATGCATAGTCCCAACCCGAAAGACGATGCAGAGGACGCGGCTCGCGAGTGCCCAGATTATGCTGCTGCGGCGACCCTTGATCAACTCAACGGCTCTGAGGACTACGTTGTGTTTGGTATGAAACCCATCCGTTTTCAAGGAGAAAACAGAAGCTAACCTGGTTCTGTTCCAAGTCTGCTCCGCTCTCGGGGAATTCAATGAGAAGAACACCAAGAACTATGTCACTCTCAATAAAGGCACCGACCCGACTTGCAACGTTACCCTGCAGTACACATTGAGCGACGAGGATTATGACTCTTGGGATGTAATGGATAAGGCAACCTACGATACTATCAAAGAAATGGCAGGCGGCGATGAACACGAGTCGAGTATCGAATGGTGGGATGAGACAACTCATGGCTGGATCAAGACAAAACCAGCAGTCGACACTATTCGAATTCCTGGTGTTGTCCATGAGGGAAGCACTTGTTTCATGGGACCCAAGGAAATCGGTGGTTCCGTGGATGAACTTTATCGTCCCCATGGGATTGAGAATGTTCATGTCACTGGAGCTGCTCTTTTTCCAACTGCGGGTAGTTGGAACCCCACGATGACGATGTGTGGTTTTGCTCAAGACTTGGCTCACAAGCTGCATGAAATGAGGCCTCAAGAGAACGAGTGAAGAGCATCATAACGTCGCGGGGTGATTTGATGCGGGGCGGAGAGGCCTTGCTGAAGGGTTTTTTCGCGACTAACTCGCAAGGGCCAGGCTTATTCCCTTTTCTCGGCGAACAGTAAAAAATAAATGAAAGTTATTTGGCGCAACATCTGCGGCGTTGGCGAAAGGGGGTTCAGGTGGTAGAATACGCTTTCGAATCTCTCGGTCAGGTCGTACCAGGTCGTTGTTATTGTTGCTGGTCCGTGTTTCCAACAAGAGATAAGGTAGACTCCTCCAATTGTTACGAAAACGAATCAGAGACAATGCCTTTGCATATTTCTACTACTAACTGTCTTTTGAGCATCTTCTCGTGTACTCTGTTGCAAATTTCACGTGACCATAATGTTGTCCGCCTCAAACTTTCACATATGAATGGCTGATTGCATCCGAATCTGATCATCATTCTCCTTCTGCCGGTCGCGAGCATCCTCAAGAGCCTGTTCGGCCTTGCCCGCGCCCGCCTTTGCGCCTTCCTCCTCTCGCAGTGCTTTCTCCAGTTTCTTGGTCGCCTCGCGAAGTGCTCTCTCGGCCTTGATCAGCGCTAGCTCACCCTTGGACTGATTATTGCCCATGCAGTCTTCTAATGTCGCGCGATGTCGTTAAATCTCTGGATCCTTGGTGATGTCATCGCCTCCAGATGGTGGCGGCGGGATCATCATCGCTTGCTTAGCCCAAGTAACTATATAGTCGAAGCGCTGGCGCTCTTGTGCCTCGGCCTGCTCCGCCGTATCACATCTTTTTATGCATGTCTGAACATGGCTAACTGCTTGGGTTACTCGATCTTTGGCATCTTGGAGCGCCTTTTCCGCGTTCGGCACCAGGCCGGGCTCGTTCTCGAAGGGGTGCTCGGACTCGATAGCGCGGGCAATCTCTCGCGCTTTCTCGAGGGCAATGAAGAAGTCGTCTAGTTTCTGGCGCTCGGTTGGGCGTGACGAGTCGGACCTGCTCGAACCGGCTTCGCGATGGATATTAGGACGCCTCATGGTGATATTAGTGAAGAGGACGCTGTTTACGTTAATGTCTGGGACTTGTGCCATGTTGATCATAATGAATGGATCCATAGAGGGTATAGATGGAGACATCGAGATATTCTTGGTGTTACTATCCTGTCGCCGCGCAATTATAGCAAGATCTCTCCTGACATCTTCATCGGTGGATTCCAGATCCTCTAGACTCGAATGGCCGAGTAGGAGGTACCACAGTGCTATCAAAACATGGGCGCCGCATGACACAGATTCCCGTTGCCGAGGACCAGGCTACATCCACGTTAGTGACTAGCACTTCGCGCCCCCCAAGAACGGACATGGACCCACCATCTGGATAAAAGTGAAGGTAGACTCTGGAAGAAACCTCTGTTGCCAGCCCGTGATCAGCGGCATCACCTCCGAGAAGCCTGCTTTTCCAGGCCATGGGTCGTAATGATCAACGCTTTTCTCGACGAGGCGCATGCGGACGAAGGTCCAGTGCTTACACGTAGAGCCGAGATGGTGGACCATGGCAAAGATAGTTTTCACCGTGCCCTCTCGAATAGGCCTAGGCAGAGACGCGGGCAGGCAGTGGCCAAGTCGGAGGTAGAGTGGGTGCAGGAGAAGACTATCAGGTGGCTGTGTGATCTTATCCACGAACTGGTTCTGAAAACCCTCGATTGTGTCATCAGTGAGCATGGCATCGTTCTCCAGTTTCTGCAAGGCCCTCTCCTAGGCGGACAAGAACAGGCTGTGGTGAGGAGCGGATGTTGTAACACAGAACGCCATCTCCATACTTTCCGACTGATCGATTGTGTCAACATCTTCGTTCTCGCTCACATCATCGACGACCATGGGAACGCCTTGGGTTCCATTGATCCCAGATGTCTCCTCAATAAGACTATGCATGCCAACGGTCTGCTTGAATAGACTCTCGTCGTCATCATGCGCGTTGATAGGAGAGTCCGCAACCTCGAGAAATGAGAGCTACAGTGACGGACTTCGTGGTAGTATGCTCGCAGAGTCACATTGGAAGTTGCGTGGTCCATCTGGTGAAGGCGAATCATCCGTCGAGTGCTCGCTTTCGGGAGAGTCTTGATCGTGGAAATGCTCCCAAGTGAGCGGGTGTTCGTCCGAAAATAGCTCTAAGGCGTAAGGTAAAACCTTGTTGTTCCAGCGTCAGTTGTCAGCCCCGTTTATCTTAGTCGATGCTCGGTGTAGGAAACCGCCTAGACGGTAAAGTGGGGCTAGAGGGACGTTGGCGAGCTGGCAGAGCTAGGTCAACTTTCAAAGCAGCACGAGGGTGCCCTTCCTAAGGGTATTTGGGGTGGCTGAGGATCGTCGATGAAAGATTTCCGGGGGCAACTAGCCCTCCTTGTCTCCCCACGCCTCATCAAGCTGGCTTTCTAGGTATTCCTGTTGTTTCTTGTATCGCTCCTGGTCGTAGGCCACATGCACCAACTGTGACGTGGCCGATTTGATGCTTGTAAAGGTTGCGAGGGCCTCGTTGATCATGGAGTTGCGTTCGGCTTTGGGCATACTTGCAAGCGCTCCCTTGACGAAGACTTTGGCCTCCCTGGGGCCTAGTTCTGTTTGCTGAGGTCTCGTAAGAGAGAATAGTACTGTGAAACACTCTCTATCAGCTTCTGAACAAGACGAATGGGAAATTCGGTTGTTTTCTGGAGTGAGCAATGGCACTATGTGAAAATCTCGACCCGGCCGATCAACTAACCGGTGAGCGGAAGGTGCGAAATAGCGCATCAATCGAGGTGTTGGTGGTAGAAGTGTACTGTTCGGCTTGAAGATAGCCTCAAATCGCGAAAGCCACGCCTGGGCTCACAACGTGATTTGGAAATGGTACTTCATTGCAGGGAAAGTGGCGTGTGTGTGTGTGTGTGTGTGTGTGTGGAAGGGAGAGCGTATCTCAGACCAGGCCTGGCCAGAAGCGGAGATAGACGATATAGGGCAATGGGAAGAATAAGGGGATGCGAAAATGATTGCTAGCTCTGCAATGGTAGAAAAATGACATACCGGCGGAGTCTGGTCATGGCCTTCTTTCTTTCCACTTTGTTCCCCTTCGCTGTGGATGGAAAAGCCCTCCTCATCTTCGTCTTCAACTTCGTCCTCATCCCCATCCTCATCCTCACCTTCATCTTCATCTTCGTATTCGTCCTCGTCCTCCTTCTCGTCGGCCTCTACGGAGGGTATCGCAACCGAGGATCTGACTGGTGTCGGACTGTCCCTTTCCAAATTCTTGCCTTGTGCATGTGCGACGCCTTGGCGTAAGGAGGCGCGCCTATCGGGGGCAGCCGGAGATTGATGAGGTGGAATCTTGCGTCGTGCTGGTGCCATGGTGTATCCGGAGGTATGGAAGGACGATGTTGGGCCAAGTGGTGGAAATCGTGGTGATGAAGTTTAGGAGACGCGGTTGAGAAGTGGACGAAAAGAAGTTGACATTGCCTTGAGACACTTTAATGTAGGCAGTAAGAGTGGGCGTGTGGGTAGCCTGGTGGCTGCCACAAAGGTACCGGTACTGAGGTGAGATAAGGTAGGGAAGTAAGGCAGGCACATGCCACCACAATCATGACCCAATGGAATATCTTCCCGGCATGAAACCTGTGCCTTCCACGTGGTTGAGCGGGTTCATGTTCCTGTAGGGCTGAAGGCGGAGCTAGGAACGTCTGCCTGTTGGTCCGTTTCCCGTACCACAGAGTACCTTAGGTACACAGCGATGAAAGTGGGACGCGAAGTGGGGGGCTCGGATGTATCTAGGTACTTGCCGGTAAGCCTTCAGGTCGTTGGGTAGGTACCTAGGTAGACTACCTCACTTTTGTCAAGGATTTGTGGTGCTTGTGCCGTGCATCAACGTCACTCAGCATCGCTGCGAGACTAAAACGTGCCACAAGTCCGCAGGTTTACGATGCATCATGCTCATTCAACACATGTCACTATGGCTTTCATTGCTTTTTTCAATCCTACATCATACCCAGTAGGGTAAGTCACGGCCATTGAGTTTGAGCAATGCTCTGTTTTCGATTAGCTCCATTACTTCCCAAGATTACGACACGGTCATGCCGGCACTTGACTCCACATCACCAGCAGTGTTACACGCCACAACTGATGCGAGATACTTCTGTATGGCATATCACATCCCGTCCCATCATTCGAGAGACCCTCATCGCATGCCGTCCATCACTGTTAACGCCCTTGTTGCTAACAAACTTGCAGCAGACACCCCGATGCCGTCGGCTAAGACCTTCACTATATATTCTTCCCGCGAGCCCGTGTTTAGACGCGGTTTCCTGTCACGTCTGACTCATACTCTGCGGTGCGTTTCGGTATCTCGGCCAAGAAGATCTAAGCATCTGGGCGGATCGCTTGGTTCTTTTTCACCGATACCCCAAGAACTGCAGGGCTAGGTGGAGTCTGTATACACCGGCGGCACATGGATGCGTCCGTAGAAGAGAGAACAAATCAGAGCGCCTGGAGTTGCTGGTGATGACCGAGGCTTGGCCATGATGGAAAGCAATGGTAGAGCGGATGGTAACAAAGCATCTCGATCGCACGCGAGGTCGCAAAGGCAGTCCTGGCTCCGGCGTGTATTTGGCTGGATGACAAGAAGAAGCACAAGTGGCGGCGGAAGTGCCATTGTCAACTTCCGGCATCCCCGGTGATGTGCAACCGAATACGACACAGCCGCCAGAGGATGACAGTAGATGATCCAGAAGTCATCAACAGTGGTGCACTTTGGAAGTGTCATAGGCTCTCTTTAGCTTCTTCAACATTGTTTCTCATTTGCTACTAATATTCTACGCCTCCATATCGTGATCCAGAACATTGAGGGCGAATCCAGGACTGAAACGATCAATCCAACTAGGCTGTTCTCCAGATCTTCCTCATGGCCTACATACACAGCCTCGTCCACCAGGAACATCTATCTCGGACCCGCCCAAGATTAACCAGACTTTATCACCAGGCATGAGGCTCCCAACAAGACAAGTGCAAGACGGCGGCGATGTTTATGGGGTGTAGGTCGGCGTCGCTGCAAAGCGTTGGCGGGCGTGAGTGCCACGGCCTTGTGTGCAATTACATGCTCACTAAATGCCTTGCCGTCGTGGGCATGTTGTGGGACGTGACGGATAGGGATATGACCGGTGGGGCGCACATGCATTCAGCAGTTGATACGCAGCTTGATAGAATGATCAAAAATCCTCATGATTCTAGGATACACCTTGTGCCTACCGGCGGCTAATTGTCGTTCCCAAGTCGCCATGATTGATTCTCCCATGCTATCCGAAATAATGAGCGAGATTGGTGGCCGCATCTGGGGGATCAAGCTGCTAATATGTGCACAAGTGCCCGGGCATTTTCCTTTCTGGCGAATCCAACCGCGGCCTATCTCTTTGCTCTCGCCTACTCTGCTCTCGTTTTTTCTCGTCTATCCACATTCTAAACCTAGCGCTTTCTTTCTATGGCTTTTTGCCTCCCGGGTTACTCAAGCTGGTCTCGATTCCATAACCTATGCTGGCAAGCCGATCCATATCGATTGAATCTGTGCAAGGATCTTGGGCCATCCGCTGTGGTATTGCAGATCGGTATTTTCCACGCTGATAATCGACACCTGTAGTGATGCTGTCCATGGGAATCGTTTGTCGTTCTTCTCGGTCCTTCTAGATTCTCATATCCGAGGCTATCCGTACGCTATCGACCGTCGTTCTTTACTTTGCTAGCTATCTCATTAACGGAAGATTACCCCTCCTGCCGTCCTCCTAGGCCTATCTTAAGGCCAATTCCTCGGTTAGCCTCGGGAATCGTGGATGGAACCAAGATATTGATCTGTGCTAAGTTGACTTTGTAAACGTGAAAGTGGTGACTTTGCTGTGGAAAAAGAACCGATGACTCAAGGAGCGACTGCTCGAGACGAATGGATTAATTTCCCGCCTACGCCAACTGGGGGCATGCAGATGACGGTGGTACCATCTGGTGATTAAGGTCCAGAGTGGCCATTGCCAAGGATCACCTGGAGGGCCTTGGCCGTTCTCAATGTGATTTTGCCGGGTGGCGCTATCAGTATTCAGATGGTGATGGGTAAAGAAGCATGGTTCAAGAGTTTTATTAACGGTTCCATTGGTGACATCGATGATTCCCTCGACTTCGCATTCGATCGAGACGGTTTGATACCCTCCACCCTGTGCTGCTCACAAATGCCAAGCTTCAGCCATCACCAGCTATCATTGCAGCATTCTTGAGCTGCAGAAAGATGCAGAGGAGTACGGCAGACTTCTTCTATTCCAAATATCCACGGGAAGTATCTCCCTGCAGGAATATGAAGTTATTGAGGTGGCGCTGCGTTGCGCGGAGAGGATCAATCTCGGAAGGATTTCTCTTCGGCGTGATCGGGCATCGAAGTAATCTTCGTCGAATCTAGAGGTGAAACCAAAGCGGATAACGTGTTACTTGCGTGATGAATGCGAGGGGCATTGCTGTGTTAGTCAAGCTAACAGGAACTTATTTAATAGTAATATATTTGGCAGCAGTAATTGACAGCAACGTAAAAGTAACTGACGACCACAAGGTCAATTTCCGCTAAGCCACGGGAGTTTTAAGGCCGTCTACGTCTTGATCTACTCGAAGCCGTTGTACGATGCAAAGCTAGGCAAATATCTTGGTTTTGTTAGCAAGCGGAGTTTGTCGTAGTCGGGAAGAAGATTAGGGTAGGGGAACCAGCTGGGAGAATCTGCCATAGGTATCCCATTGACTGCGGAATGGCGTCAGTACAAATCTTCTCCAGTTTCCTCAAACTCTGCTCTTTCACATTTTTGAATCAAGAAAATACGGGAAATAGAGTCAGTCCTTACCTTTGACGTCCTCGACTATTCTCTTTCGCTTGTGCCTGGGGTAGTCTTCTGTCCCTTGTTGTCCTGATCACTTCGGTCGACGATGAATAAGAATGATCTCCGAGGATGTCGAAAGCTGGAGAACTGGGTAGCTGAACCATACAAGAGAGTATCGAACGCTTAGACCTATTCCGCAGTGCGTGCTTTCTGCCAGCTGAATGAAGTCTAAGCCATGTCGTTCTTGCTTCCGGTATTTCCACAACAACAGCGAACTACATCCGTTCTTCTCTGATCCTAATTTTTTCTAAGGAGCAGTGAACTTTCATCGCCATCAAAAGTACTTAGGTTACTACTACGTTAGCGCCGCCCTTATCATTTCGATATTCCTTAAACGGGAAGCTTGACGTGTCGGGTTGTGCGCTTCAATCGGTCGTGAAAGGAAAGTCTACAGTCTGTCGACGTGAATATCTCATGATTTATCCACCAGCTCTGCTTATATGATATTTCAGGCTCGCTCAAGATCATAACTCAGTCAGTTCAAGTCTAATTTAAGTCTATGTTTGTTTTAGTACAGGTTTTGGAGCAGTGGCCTCTAAGACCCTAAGTCCCCGATTTACTTTAAGGCCGCAAGCACACAAGCAGGGCGGGTAGTGCAGAGCCAATGTGCCACAGCAATGCTGTGCGACGTTGCGGTCTAGATCTCATAACCCAGCCGGGGCCAAGTTGCTTGGCATGTTCCAGAACGTCCATAGGTTCATGCTCGTGAATACAAAGTTTCCAGATATATGGCCTAAACACATGCCGATGGTGCGACATCACTGCAGTCTAATGAGGCTGATAGTCGATCACAGGCATCCAACCCGAAAGGAATCATTTTTTCGCAACCTCTTGGTAAATTTCAGGTCATCACGCAAAAGCACCCAGCTTGGTTGTTTAGGTACTGATCGGCACTATGGAAGGAAGAAGTTGCGGGACCTATGTCTTGTAAGGAAGCAAGGACATCGCTCGTAGGAAGTCTTCGTGATGGATATGATTCCAGTGGGCAATGGGAACACTCTGGGGCCGGAAACCAAGATCTTACGACGCCACACCAATACAGTACCAGTAAGTCCCCCAGAAGCTGGTACCACAGTTTGCACCGTTTGTTCCAAGTACCGTATTCCAACTGTAAAAGTCTGCAGCCGCGAGACCGTATCTCTCGATGAAGGCGGCACACCAGTCGCCTGACGGAGCCTGGGCGTACTTGTTACACGTCGCGATCGCGTTGCCCGCCTGATTCGGCGACGGGGCCGCGATGGGACCGTCGGTGGAGGTCGGAGTGGATACCGGCGCCGAGGTGGAGGTTACCCCCGAGCCACCGCTGGTGGTCGCGCTGCCGCTTGTACCGACGCAGTAAGCGTAACCACTCCAGAAGTTTGTGAGGCAGTCCTCTGATACAGCAGGGTTCAGAGCCAGGAACTGGGCATGTGTGAGACCGTATTCTGCCTCGACCGTGGAGCAATCGCCGCCTATTCA